AGATTGAGTGTCAGAAGTTTGGAACCATATGTTTTAATGTGTGATCCGTTCGCTGCAAACAGTGTACTTGTTGTGGGTTTGGGTTTAGGATTAGCGATTGCGGTTATCGGAAAAACCGAGAAATCTGCGCCCGTATCCACCAAAAATTTGTGTTGAGTCTTTTTGTCAACAATAAACAGACGGCTTGACTTATAACCACTAGCTTCATCTACCGTCTCTGACAAAGCTGTTTTTAGTTTTCCGGTGCCTTGAATTTGCAAGGTTTGGTACATTTGATTGCATTGGCACCAAACCTGTAATGGTAGAAACAAAGAGGTTGCTTACTAACCTGATTTGCAGAACGTGTGCGGATGTGCTGGACTGGATCACGATCTGGAGTTCGGAATCGAGGTCTTCTATTTGAGTATTGTCGCTGCTTTATTTCAGCTACATCTTTGCTCAGTTGTAAAACGGCGTTTTTTATGGTTTGCATTTCTTCAACTGATAATGACTGTGCTGATTGAGAATTTTTTGCACCATCTACAGTGGCTACAGAACCATAACTCCCCATCTCCATCATTTTATCAGCTTGGAGTGCGCATTTGTCAAGATCACCGTCAGCGATGGACACAACAGCTCGCACTGCAACGGGCAAACGATCTAGCCAGAATTGTTTCAGTGCGCCGTCATTCATGGCTCCAGCTGCTAGGTCGCGCATAGTGCGAAGTAATTGCGATGGCTTGTTGTCATGAAGTTCGCACTCGAGTATGAGTCTGCGTAGCTTTTTATTTTCAGAGTCAGCAAAGTCTTGTATCAGGCGATTCCTTATTGCGTCGTATTTGTTTTGCGATGGAGGTGATCTCACAATATCTGCAACGTTTCTTAGTGTAGACCCGTCCAACGAACCAATCACGTAGTCGTATTTCGTTTGGTCTTGTGTAATGCTTGCGTTGCGAAATTGCGTCTCCATCTGCAGGAAGTATAAGTCGGGGTCGCGTTTGCAAAATACCGGCGGCTTGACACCTATGCGGCAAATTTCTGCCGGTGTTGTACCATGCTGTACTGTCGTGCTGGTTGTTGCGTTGACTGCTTCGTCTTCGTTCATGATATTTCTGCTTGTTAAAGAATTTGCGTTGCGAGACTCTGTGGCTGCTACTTAGCTTTTTACAAATTGTTGTTTTAATTCCGGCGTCACCAAATGTGGTTTTAATTCCCGGAATCACGTCGGAGTCACCAATTTGTCGTTACGATAGACAATTTATTTTTACTTTTTTATTTATAATATAAAGTTACAATTTGCTTAATTTTTTAAATCTTCACTTATCTATACTTTGACAACAACCTTTTTAAAATCTTTTTACTTTTTCTGCTCAATCAAAATTTTTCCGTCCCTTCTTGCATTTACATTCTTGTCAACCTCTATGTGGAACATAGGTTGACATTGGATTAGAATTACAGAGTTGTATTTCTCAACTCCTTGTTAAAATTTAATTACGATCCAAATTTCCTTCATTCAGAATATAAATTCTGGTATATTATGTTTATTATACCAAGACAAAAACACTTCTTTGGTTTCGCTTACGTATCATAAATACACTTGGGTGGACACCACAAGCCCATTGGCATGCCTTTACGTTGTTTATAAATTTTGTTGTCTAGCATGAAGTAATTATTTTCTTTAAGACAGAAATTTAAAATTTCGAAGAAAAGTGATTTAGTAATCTTAGTAAATGTCCTAATTATATTCCACTTCTTTTCCAAAATTTTAATGGCTAGTTCAACCGGTATATTCGGAAATAAGGATACTACATCAAAGGATACCATTATTTCATCATCGAATATATATGAATTACTGACCTTATTTTTGAAATCAATTGAGTCTTTAACATTATAAACCGAATGTATGGTCAGATTTTTTAAAATTGACGCTATATATCGACACAATTCGTATGATGGTGAGTTAACTGAAGAGCAAATAGGCCTAAGTGGCATATTTTCCTTATGTAATTTAGGTAACCCATATATTCTAGGTGGGTTGGCTATATATGTACATAATTTAAGTTTTTCTGTTTTATTTATTATTTGATTATCAAAAAGTTTTGTGACTATTGTATTATTTTTAGTTTGTAACGTTGAAGTTGGATCTCTTCTGAGTATTCGGTATGTCATAATATCATTTACTATATTTTTAATTTCTTTGTCATAATGTTCTTTTTTTATAGCAACTGTTTTGTTGCCTTTATCAGATTTAATATATCACAGAAGCATATTCTTCTTAAACAAAATAATAAAAATATCACGGTAACAGAAAATATAATTCAAAATTTAGTGTGCCAAAATGATTATATTAACTTTATTTACAATGAACAAATCCTTTACAATAAATTAATAACAAAAAAATCTAATTCATTGGATCAAAAATTTGAAAAATTAAAACTTAAATTAATAAAATCGCTTGACATAAACATAAAAGAAGACTGGTTTATAAACAAAACTGATATAGAATTCCCAGCTGATGTGCAATGGCTTCTCTCTCTCGGTTCTAATTTCTCCCTACCTCTTTCTAAAAAAAGCTTTCCACTTCTTAAGTATTTAACAGATGGAGAAGACTGCATTAATACTTTAGAAAATAAAGAAGAGCAAGAAATAGCGAGAACACAACTTATCGGTATGGTTGAAAGGTATAAAAGACAAATAACACATTCTCCTATGGAAAAATACATATTGCGCACAGTGGAACAAGCGAAAAAATTTTTAAAACTGAATAAAAACATTTTAATACTTAAATCTGATAAAGGCAACAAAACAGTTGCTATAAAAAAAGAACATTATGACAAAGAAATTAAAAATATAGTAAATGATATTATGACATACCGAATACTCAGAAGAGATCCAACTTCAACGTTACAAACTAAAAATAATACAATAGTCACAAAACTTTTTGATAATCAAATAATAAATAAAACAGAAAAACTAAAATTATGTACATATACAGCCAACCCACCTAGAATATATGGGTTACCTAAAATACATAAAGAAAATATGCCACTTAGGCCTATTTGCTCTTCAGTTAACTCACCATCATACGAATTGTGTCGATATATAGCGTCAATTTTAAAAAATCTGACCATACATTCGGTTTATAATGTTAAAGACTCAATTGATTTTAAAAATAAGGTCGGTAATTCATATATATTCGATGATGAAATAATGGTATCCTTTGATGTAGTATCCTTATTTCCGAATATACCGGTTGAACTAGCCATTAAAATTTTGGAAAAGAAGTGGAATATAATCAAGACATTCACTAAGATTACAAAATCACTTTTCTTCGAAATTTTAAATTTCTGTCTTAAAGAAAACAATTACTTCATGCTAGACAACAAAATTTATAAACAACGTAAAGGCATGCCAATGGGCTCACCGTTATCACCCATTATAGCAGACATCGTGATGGAAGAATTATTGGAAAAGTGTATGGATGACCATGAATATAAACCAAGATTATTAACGAAGTATGTAGATGATATCTTCGCGATAATACGCAAAAATAAAATAACTCAAATACTTCAAATTTCGAATTCTTTTCACACAAATTTAAAATTCACCATAGAAGAAGAAAAGAATAACAGGCTTCCTTATTTAGATGTTGAATTAATTAGACATAATAACCAAATTCACTTTTAATGGTATAAAAAGTCTTCAGCGTCAGGAAGATTAATTAACTATAATTCCAATCATCCTAAACACGTGATTTTAAATACAGCATCCAATTTTATTAGAAGAGTTCTAGTACTGAGTGACAAAATTTTCCATAATGAACAAAAGAACATAGTGCGTGATATTTTAATAAAGAATGACTTCCCCGTAAGGATTATTAATATGATGCTTAATAAGACCTTTAAAAAGCTCCAACCTAACAATAATAATGACAAAAAAATATATAAATCCATTGATTATGTTCCAAAATTGTCAAACCAAATAATGAATTCTAGTATATATGACAAGGAACGTTATAAAATTACTCATAAGGCAACAAACACAATAGCTAAATTATATAGCAATACGAAAACTAAAATTAATAATAAAGACAAATCTAATGTAGTGTACCAGCTGAATTGTAAAGGTGACGGGTACAATGTATGTAACAAAATATATATAGGTACGACTAAAAATAAGCTTAGGACAAGGATGGCTGGACATAAACACAGTTTAAAAAATAAAAGTGGTGCTGAAGCCAATACAGCATTGGCTGTGCATTGTATGGAGCATAAACATGAACCTGATTTTGATAAGGCAAAAATTTTATATGAAGAAAGGAACCATAATAAGAGGTACTTTCTAGAAATGCTCTCAATACTTCAAGTGCCCAATAATATAAGACTTAATTTTAAAACTGATACGGACAACTGTGCTCAGGCTTATAGGAATATTATAAACAAATGACACAGGATGTTTGTAAAGCTTTTTTTGTTTTTTTTATAAATTTTTTTTATAATTTTAATTTTTCTTTTGTATTTTTATTGTTGTTTTTTTTTTCTCTTGTTGTCATCATTATTATTGTATTTATTGTATGATTTTTCTTTATAATCCGCTATAAAAATGTGAACATCCTATATTTTGTGTAGTTTTCCCTGAAGATGACTATCGAAGATAGTCGAAATATCGGATATAAAATATAAACGATTTTTAAATATAAATAATAAATTAGTGTCTTTTTATTTATATTAAAATTTGACCAATTAGCCCGGTAACAAATTATTATAATAATAATTTTTGGTCACAAATATAAGTATTTAATATTTATAAAAATATTTTATTAAAAATAAAATTTGTTGAATTCAATTAATAATAAATTAAATAATATTAAGTCTTTAAACTATTAATACATTTGAATATGAATATTTTAATATACAAATATAATTTACATACTCCACTCTTTTTACCATCAAAAAATTGTTTACAATTTTTGTTTTTTTTTTTATATTTCTTATTGGATTTTTAACATATTTAACAAACACAAATTAACACATAGGACAACTTTATTAAAATATATTAAATATATACTTACATATATTTTTGCTTTACTAATTTGTATTTATACACATCAAAACAAACAAATGACATTAAACACAAAACATATATTTTAAATCCACAATTAATAAATTATTGTTTTTTTACCTTCTTTCGTCATTTTCAGGAAATTCATACATTCCCTTAAATAACTTACAACCCATCACGCAATTTCGCACCATCTTCAAATATTAATAATAATATATAATAATTTACAATAATAATAATTATAATAAATATTATTATTTTTTCAAATAAACTTATTCACTACTTTTTATAACTCAGTTTGATTTGACTACGTTTTTCAGTTTTTGGCGCATTTCTCCTGTCAAAATAACTAAAAAAACCCAATTTGCGCTCTTCATATTGCTCTTTCGTAACAAAAAAAATTAAGATCGTTTGTGGTGGTGAAACGTTCCGTTCGGGGTGGTGAAACTTTTCAGTCGTGGTGGGTCGAATTGCAACAACAAAACAACGTGTTTGGTTTGGTAGTAGTAAATTATTCGAGAGTGGATTGGTTGGTTTTTTTTGTTTACATTTAAGTTGCCGTTCTTGTACAAGTATTCTTTGATCGAAAGTAAGAAATTACACTTGTGGTGTTGCCACAGTGTAATTTTCAAACATTAAATATAAATACGTAAATAAATTTTATTTACTTTTCTCTTATAAAAATAAAATAAACTTATATACAAATAAATAAATTTACTTATTTATAAATTTAAATTTAAAAAAAAAATTAAAATATAATTAAATAAGCTATCTGTTTAATATTCTAAATCCGTTGTATGAGCGACTGCGGAGGTGTTGTACGTCGGCAATCTTTAATAAGTGAAAATGGCCTAAATGGCTATATAACACTGAACACAGATGACACTAATATAGTAAATCATTCCCCAAACAAACTTTTAGAAAATTCAAAAATTGAATCAAGTATAACAAAAATAGCTAGCGAAATTACCATCGCTAATAGAATTAAATTAATAAATAATAAAAACGAATAGTTAAAACATAGTTCCCCAAAGCAACAGGAAA